CTCTCGTTGAGCGTCGCATATTTCGCGCTCACCCACACAGTCGCATCTCCGCCGCTGTGCATGGTCCACGGTACATGGGTTCACTCTGCCACCGGCAGCAGCCGAATTTAAAGCACCGGAGGTGGGAGCACCAGGAGAGGAGACCCCTTCTTTCCCCAACCCTTCGCTGTGTGACCGCTCAAAGCTTCTCTGAATTTAAATCCTGATTTATCACTGTCATAAGAAGCGGGAGACAACAGCATCCTCTCCAGCAGCAGCAGCAGTTCTGACAGACCCAGACCCGTGGGCGGCTGGGTGGCGTCTGGACGAGGATCTGGCTCCACACTGCTCCATCTCAACAACACCTCAGATCCTCAAGATAAGGCGATGAGAGGTGAGATGTAGCGGATGGGAGGCCATTCATGTGGATCTGGACTTCATCTGAAACGGATAAAATCTCTTCACCACCACCATCCTCCTCTTCCTCCTCCTCTTCCTCCTCCTCCTCATCGTCTAACCAGTTGATATTTTTGATGCAACTGTCTGAAAAGTGTGGAGCACATTGACGCACGGGGTGAAGTCCAGCACAGAGACTGAATGAGTCCATCTCTGGCGATCGGACGGACTCCTCGGGCGCACAGGACGGATGCAAACAGACTAAACACATCTTGGCAATTCGCAGCACCCTCAGCGTCTCCGCCAGATTCGGTGGTGTAACGGAGCGGGGGTGAATCTCACAGCGGGGGAGCGGTCAGTTTCACAGGCAGGTAATGGCTCGCACCCGTCGGTTGATGAGTGTGTCACCTCTGGACAGATGTGCAAAAGGTGGTAAAGGTGATTACCGCCCATGCGTCTGTCGCTGCCGCCGACGGCCGCAGCGCCGCGCAGGCGACTGCACCTGTTGTAATCTGTGTGAATGTGTGTGCGTGTGTGTGTTTGTGTGTGTGTGGATGGGCCGTGTTGTTGCAGTGGGTGACAACATGACAACATAATGATGCCCGTGTCTATCCACATTTAGTTTCCATCAACTGCTCCGGAAAATCTCCCTCCTGCTGCGCGTGTGCGTTACCGCGCGTCGGTGCGCGCCGTGTGGGTTTGATCGGTGTGATTAGGTGATTATAGGTCCATCACACGCGCTCCATGCGTGTAATTACAGGATAATTGTCTCAACACGCAGCGGGACGTAAAGCGCTCCACCATACATCAAGCTTTGTGGCTCTGTCCGCGGCTCGCCTGCGCACACACACTGGTTCTGATCATTGTGGACCGGCTGCAGTATAAAGCCCCATTGTTTTCACTCTGTTTCCCAGATTCTCCAAAACTCCACAGTGGTCAGATCTGCCCCCACTCTCACACACATTCACCATCTGATTCCCTGGAGGAGACCCGCCTGTGGATGGTGAGGTGGGTGTACGTGCGTGCATAATGGATGGTGTGTGTGTGTGTTTGTGTGTGTGTGTGAGCATTTTGGGGATGTGGGGGGTAACATACGCATGAGTTTTTTTTGTACTCTGACATCCTATTCTCGCTGCAACGTGGGTGACTTGAGTATGAGGCTGTCGTTTGGAGTATATGCGCTTGCGTCCAGCTGCAGATGCGCGCGGCGTGGCACAGGTTTCCAACTCTGCCCCCGTCGCCTCGGACTCTTAACATCCAACAAAAGCGTCGTTTGAGGCCAAGATCAAGGCCACACGCGTCCACCTCTCCTCTGCCTGAGTCATTCCACCGGCGCGGCTGGTGGTGGGGTCAGATATTCTGCTACAGAGCGCGTTGGATGACCCAGGTTGACCTCCAGCTGAGGCGGCTGTATAGGCGTCAAGAGGCGCTGCAGTCGGGATGTGCAGCGCCTCTGCTGAGGAAACAGAGACACAGCCTTGATGGGTGAGAGAGAGACAGCAGAGATCACAGCTGTGTGGAGCCTGCCTGTCTTTATCCAAGGTGACTTCAGGATAGGACACTGATAATGTGACACTGAGCAGAGACAGCAATGATTTAATCACTCTTTATCACTGGTTTAGACAAACATCTGATCAGAAGTCAGTTTATTGATGGCCGCCTGTTGAGGTAACTCTCATCTTTCTTTGAATCATTTTGACTGTTGTTTGTTTTGTGGATGATATGACAAATCAGAAATGTGCTGTTTCCCTGCAGAACTAATTCAAGTGATCAGATGTGATCTATCATTGTTTTTGGCAGGCAGCAGGGGCCTCGTATCCAGAACTGGAGAGGAGAGCTCTCTGACGTTTAGTGGCTTGAAGTAGAAAGGAGAATCACTTGATTAATCATGACGTCCGCCACCAAACGGATGTCGTGCATATCAGAGAATCCTGGGATGGAGCTGAATCGCACAGTTTTGCATGTTTTGATGGTGAATCGGTGGCAGAGACATGTAGTCAACAACCTGTTTTGTTTGATCTGGCAGAGAAGGCTTGATTGCGTTGTCTTGTCGTGCAGGGCTGCCTGCCTGCCTGTGTTGGCAGTTGTGCATGTGCATGTTGGGAAAATCGATGTTGTGACCCCTCAGCTCTTCCCTGTCATTCTACTAATGCATTTTCCTCCAGGGGGACAGAGGGAGGTGAGAGGAAAAACATGAAACTCCTCTCTCCCCCGTCGGCTGCTTTTGGCTCAGTACTGGTGGCTTCTCGCCCTTCATCTCAGCCTCGACTTTCCTTTCTGGGCTTGAACTGGCTCTGATCACCACCATGCAGACTTGAAACCGGACTCCCTGGGGCACAGGTGACCCCATAGTTCAAACACCATCAGTCAGCCCCCCTTCATTTGCTCTTTTCATCCCCTTTGTACCCCCCACCATCCCCACCCCACCCATCACTGTACCTGTCTGTCTGTCTGTCTGCTCTTCCTCCTCTCAGCCACTAAATGAGGCTCATCAGATGGAGATTTTTCCACCAAACCTTGAACTTGTCATCTCTCGTGTCTGTCTCTGCAACAACAGTCTGCATTTGCATGACTAGAAAAACCTCAATCCAAAAATATACGGCAGAAAAACACAGAGTGAGTGGGGGGGGGGGGATCAGTGTGTGACTGAGTTGGATGCATGTGTTTGCATGTGTGCTGGTTTTTACCATGAGTGAGTGGGTGTTTCTGTCAGTGGAACAAGTGTGAGAGCAGATGGACTGTTAAAATATACTCTCATGTTAATTTCATATCATATGTCTTATTAATTTGTCCACTGATTAAATAATTGCTGGATCTTGTTTCATTTGAAGAGTTTAAGTATTTCAGGGGGTCCAGTTAAATGTTCAACATTTTTCATTCTGAATCTTTCTTCTTGAAAATGTTTCCTCAATAATTTCTTCAGGTATCATCACAGTGATCACAGACAGACCTGTCGTACAAACCTGCATGCATTAATATACATCTAGGAATTTAAACATGCACATTGAATCACTGCCTTCAGTGTAAATACACCCAAATTAAATATTTTATGTGAATGCATGCGTGGACATACGCATACATAAATGGCGTGCATGCACAATTCTGTATGATACACGCCAAGACTTTATGGGTTGGGTTGTGCAAGGAACTAGTTAGCATGACATGTTGTTCTAATCACATTGTGAATCTGAAGACTGTCTTTATTTTCACACTTGGTCAACATCAGTCCTCATGTGGAGTTGATTTAAAACATTTTATTATAGATATTCTTAGTTTCACAGTTTTGGCTGTTTGCATGAAACATGACAGACATAGTTGTGTCAAGAATGATAAATGGTGGCCTGTGCTTTGCTCGTCTTGATGACTACTCAAAGCACTAGACAGTACAGTTTTTTCCATTCACACACATTCACAAAGTGCATGTATGTGCAGCACTTTCTCGATGACACATCGGACACACGCTGCCGGCACAGCTGTCAGGGGCAATTTGGGGTTCAGTATCTTGCCCTAGGTCCCTTTAGTTTGCAGAATGAAGGAGACTCGGACCGAACCATCGACCTGGGAGATCTAAATGACCCGATCTAACCCGCAGCCACACCTCAGATGAAATAAAGAGAGCCAACCCCGGTCCCTTTTTAAAATTAAGCACAGCTGGCCGATCACGGTGTGAAGTGGGTGTGAAAAACAGTACGTCAATGTTGGATTGTTTGTTTTGGAAAGTTACGGAAATGGCCGAACACAGCTCGACTTACAACCTGACACCTGAGAGCTGTGGACGCAGGGGGTTTCCAAAGCTGTTCAACCATTCAACAAGCAGCTGTAATAAAAGTTATTGCTCATCTAAACAACCAATGAAACTACATACACCCAAAAGGTGTCCTTTTCCGTCAAATGATTTGCCCTTTATTTCATCAGGAGCAGGTCTGACACAATTTAATTTTTGTGACTGTGAAAAACTGAAGAACAAGGACACTTGATGCCGCACAAGGTTAAATGTAGTAGAGGGGCTGCCAGTCTTCTCAGTGACAGCCTAACTTATTAATTTAATTAAATCTTACATTAATTAAATCTCTAAATTAACGCAGCTGTATTTCTTTGATGTTCATATGCTCTCTGTGGCACCTTCAATGGGGACTGTGTCATTTCTGCAAAAGCAGCCAAAGTGACTTCAAATCATGATGATGGAAAACTGGTAAAACGTCATGTAACAGAAGCACAAGTAGAAAAGAGACGTGATCAGTGGTCTGAGGGAATGTCAGATACACAGCAACAAACTTAAGTTGCTAATACTTGATAACAACAGAGACTGTCAGGGACCAAGCAGCCAGAGGACGAATGAGCACAGGATTCATTTTCAAAAAATGGGATTAGTTTCAGCCCAAAACATCAAAGCGAAAATTAAGTGTGACTGAAAATTACCACAAACAAAACCACTGACCTCACAAATGAGCTAAAGCGAGACATATACCCTGGCTGATTGGACTACTTGGAAACCATTGGTGGAAACAAAATAGACAACAACTAAAACTCCATACAAAGAAACCCCATTACCCCCATGCTGAGGCAGCACTTGGTCTTGTCCATGTTACTGGGCCTCTGTATTTAAGTAGGCTCCGCCCTTGGCCACATCTTTTGGCCAAACCAGGAAGGAGGACTGATGCAGCAGGCACATGGTAACTAACTAACTAACTAACTAACTAACTAACAAATCAAAAACTGAGTTAAGGGTGTGTGGGGGTGTTTGGCTGTGTGTGGGTGTGTGTGGGTGGACTGAAATACATCTAACAGATTTTGTCATGGTGACCTGAGCACCTTAAATGTGCAGGTCAGACAAGAGTGGAACCAGGAACAGATGCTGCCCTTACACACTACTCTGCACACACACTGCTCGCTGTCTGTCTCTTGTCTCATGCACACAGACATTGTCAGACCCGGTGTCCTCTACAGATCACACAGAGCAGGCATGCACTTGTCCCACAGCTCTTAACCTCTCACACTGTCTTTGTCTCTACGCTCGGACTGTGTCCTCCTCCTGCCTCTCCTCCGATTCCAAGATCCAAAAAGGATTTAGGTCTTGAAGTGGAGAGGAGGGTTGTGTTTGTGCGTTTGACCATGTTTCCTCTGACAGAGACATCCCCACTTCTATTTCTCTCGCCTGCCAGCAGCCTGCTCACGAAGGGCTCTTGGGATCTCTATCTCTTTCTCCCATCTTATCTGTCTCTGTCTCCTTCACCTCAGTGCAGTTGAGTGCAGCATGTACTATTGGCAGGAATATTACATGATACATATTGCCAAAGTGTCAAAATATTATGCTGGGACAGCCCTCAGAGCGACAACTCTCCTGATTCAAAACAGTGAATCGCTCTGATCATGTGGCAGCAGGGGCCGTGGCTGATTGATGCCCTGTCGAGCCCTCAGGTCTCTAGGTGAGGTGCTGTGTGGCGGTGGGGATTGTCTGGTGCCACAGGAAGTCAACAGATCTGACGGGGCGGTGGGCTTAAGAAAAGATAGTGAGTGACAGGACTTTAGAGCTTTTCCTCTGCAGGGGGACTGAACAAAGAGCAAGCAGGAGAAAGACAGCAAGAGAATGATCGTTGGATAATAATGATGGTGTTTATCAGAACAATAACAGTGGAATATTTCTTTGGGACTCCATTGAATTATAATGTGATTACATAATTTGTCACTGTGATTCAGCCACAAGGAGACAGCGGTTTCTCCCAGAAATGAGCATCGGCAGAGTGGAAGAAACAATGGTCCCTCCACAGAAGCGTGTTTCTAAAAAGGGCTCATGTCTGCCAGTGTTTGAAAACACATGTACGAAGAGATGTACGCTTCTTACCTGTAGCTCTCTCACATACACAAACATGCAAAGGTTATTTTGACTGTGTGTTTCTCTCTCTCTCTCTCTGTGTGTGTGTGTGTGTGTGTGTGTGTGTGTGTGTGTGTGCTCCGCAGGGAGAAGATGCCATTCCACCATGTGCGGGCGGGCCTGCTCTATCCAGACAACTACCTGAGCAGCTCCCTGACAGAGGGCAGTGAAGCCTTCCAGCTCACCAGCATCTCCACGGAAGAGCTCGGAGGTGAGTACATTGACAGAGAGAGAGAGAGAGAAGGGTATGCAGTGGGGTTGCCTACATGCAATTCATGTTTCTCCACTGGAAAATGTAGATACAATGGTCCAGCTCTCCCGGGGTTACGTTTTTCCATTTAGCCATTACGGTTGTTAGGAAATGAAATCAGTCACAGGACCCAGGAGTCTGACCGAATTAAAATATGTTTGACCAAGCCGGAATTAGGACACCAATGTATTGATATAAGAATCCTAATTCTAGTGTTCAATCCATATTGCATGAACATTGACGTCAGTTGCACTGTGCTGAATATAGCTATTGATTCTTTTTTTTAACGTGTATTTATTTAAAAGGGACAACATTATGTCCAACATGTAAATGTGTCCGATTTAGTCACGCAGGCTGGTTTTCATCTGCAGGTTGATGGTTAAATAAATAAAAAATAAAATTCATTATATACAGATTTTTATTATCAGTTTCTTTTTAATTATTTTTCATCTTCAAATTTACAGGTTTCTAAAACATAATAGCTCTCCAATAACTCATTATGGCAAAACATAGGAAAGCTGCAGCTTATTATAGATTATATTTTATTGTCATACTACACTGTATTGGGTAATTCATGTGATCTCTAAAAATACTGTAGGTGCCAATGAGAAATGAGAATAAGTGGTCAAATGTGCATTTATGAAACAAACATTGCTATCTCATGTATTGCACTAGAGTTAGCATGATGCTATGACTCTCATAAACTATTTAGGCTTCAAAACAGCAGCTCACAAACCAATGGGTGACGTCACAGTGGGTTTTTACCACTTGATTACTCTTCATTTAATTGGCTCATGGACGGGTTGTAAACATGTTCAGGGTATTTGGTTGCTCAGTCTGTTGTAAACATCCATCACAGTACACAGACACAGAAAATGTTCTGGTTCAACTGCAGTATTTGTTGCACTCGTTTGCACTCACAGCTTTCCCTTTATCATTTATTATTAGCATCATTACAAGTCACACTCACAGCTACAAATAATGTGTTAGCTAATCTGGAATTAGCTCATTTAATATAGGATAGGTATTTCATCATGACCAGGGCTACAAACATAAAACCAAGGTCAAAATAATTTAACTTTAAATTGTCTTCAAAGAAGTTTTGTTCTCATGCTCCGATTGTTTCCAGTGATTTGATTTCATGACACAACCTCGTGTGCTATTTGATTGGCTGCACAACACACAAAAACACTTCCACATTGCAGTGGGTGACCATATTTTTTTTTTTACAGTGGTTGCTTCGGTAGGAAAGAAACATCTAATCCTGTCACCGAGTGTGAACACAGCACCAGTGTGTTTCTGACTGTTTGTGTTTATACATGTGGCCTATTGTAGTTTGCTCGAATGAGCTCTGCTATGAAGTACTTTGTAGCATAAATCTTTTAATCCAGCGTCCCTTGTGCACAACTCAACCCAGTTTGCTAAAACAGTTACTTATGGTGTCGTGAAAGCAGAGTTGCGACAGTGACTGAAACAGCTCATCATCTTTATTCCGGTTAGTTTCTGTTTCGTCAAGGGCAGCGAGAAGGGTAAAGCATTTTGAACCTATGTAGAGCTATTATATAAATTGCATTTGGACTCTGAGACAGTGGACATCATGATGAGTCATTATCCAGACGCTGTCAGCCACAAATCCAACTGATGGAATTGCTTGATGCGGACAAAATATCCATGGTGTTTGCTGTCAGCATTTGAAATTCCTAATCCCACTTCAGAGAGATGCCGAAGGTTCTTCCAGGATCATCTGTTAGTGCAGATAGACGGCCATTTAATCACCCCTGTGTTGGACCGCAGCTATCCTCGTCTCTGGTTTTGAGGCGTTTCATCAGTCACAGTGAGAACATGTACAATCCTAGGGGGCTGGCTTTGTAATACACAACTGCACACACACTCACACACAGGAATTGCACAGTAATACATCAGGGACCAGCTCATTCATACTCCACTGAAAATGTACTCTTTGCTGTTGAGCTGCATACAAATACATTTCACTTTGTTTATCGAGGCCACACTCTCACCCACATTCCCAATCCAATCGTCCCTGATTCTCACTTTATTTAGTGAGATAGAAAGTGAGACGACGGCACGGTGCTCGACTCCAGTTAGCAGCCGTGGGGGATATTTACAGGCTTAGATGTGGGCCGCGACTGAACTTCGGCTCTCACGCAAGTGACAGAGCAAAGACAGGCAAAGGAGGCAGATCTGAGACGGACTTATTACTCAGTGGAAGGAAGGAACAGCATGTCTGGACGAGAATATTAATGACAAACGGCCTGAGAGAAACAGAGAACGAGACGAACGTCATGTAAAATTCATTGTTTAAGTTAGAAAAAGGATTAGTCTTGGGGAAATTGTGTTTTAAATTCTATCGTGCAGGAGGCTATTACTCTTTGCCACTGTGTTTCTGCTGAACGCAAGCCCCAATGACACCACTTCCAATGCCCGAAGTGTCGAGATCCACAGAAAAATGAAAAGCTTGCATGTGAAAAGATGTTGAATAAAGACCTGAGAAGTCTGCTCTGTCTCTGAAGTCTTTATCCAGTCGATACATTCGACCACCTCCCCCTCTTGCACCTCAGCTCACATGGCGCTAACTGATTGACAGGCAATTATGCCGTGATTGAGCGGAGTATTTTGTGAGGTCCTTAGAGGGTTCAGTAATTCTCCTGCACTAACATGATAGATGCCTCGGGAGATGTGTGCGTTTACTTACAATTTCAAGTCAGAAGAAGCCTTTTATGTGGGAGGAGAGAGTCGGAAATGCTCTTGGCAATGCTGGTGGTGATTGTGCTGCGCGAAGGGGTAGGAATGGGCCCCTGGGGGGGTTGTGAAATGCAATAAGTATATAAAGATGTAGTACAAACAAGGAAAGGGAGTAAGACAGAGAGCAGGTAGGAGGAGGAGGAGGAAGGAAGGAAGGGATGGAGGGAGGGACTGCGTGAGCTCACCCTCACCTTGACGGAAAGGTTGCAGCTCTTCCATTTAATGGGAAAGCCTGTTATCAGCACCGGGGAAGCACCTTTCAGCATCCTCCTGCCTCCAATCTGTTAATCATTCATCTCATGGATGAGTCCATCTCACCGACACCATCTGGTGGCTGTGTTTACATTTTAGGATTACACTTTATGATGCTGAAGACACCATCATGAGACACAAATATTGTCTTGATGCATTTTTTGTGGTTGTTCTCCAACATAAACAGCAGTAGGTTGTTTGTCATTGGCTCCCAAAGGTATTTACTGATCTTTTGTCACAGAAGAGAACAGCAAGAGAGAGAGAGAGGCACAAAACTGCTGACTTAAACCTGCATTTAATTCTTTTTGGAGCAACACACTTGTAAACACAATGCTACCACAAGTTAAAGGTTCAGTGTGTAAGATTTAGGAGAAAGGGATTTTTGGCAGAAATTGAATATAAAATAATCCTAGTGGTGTTTTCACTGGTGTGTAATCATCTCAATTGTATTGTTTTTACCATAGAATGGACTCTTTATATCTGAAAACATTATATTTACATGGAGGGGGGGGGGTCGTCCATGTTTTTTGTCATCCAAACAAAAACCTTTTGAGTTTTCATTACAACTGAGGTTCACCACGGGTTTTATTTTGTGTTGGGAAGGGGAGGGTGAGATGAGCAGTATTCAGCTGCAACATGAAACTTCACCTCTAGATGTCACTAAATTCTACACACTGAACTTTTAAGATAAGATAAACCTTGTTGATCCCATGCATGTTGATCAAATTTACTTGTTACAACAACAGATTGTCAGCATGAGATCAACAAAGGGATCATGTGAAAGAATAAAATTTGATTGAAATAGGCAATAAAATAGAACATTAAAAAAATATAGAGAATATGTACATAATATTCACCTTTCAATACATATGGGAATATTATCTTTCGAAAAAAGTACTTGTGCCAGTGGCACAGGATGATTGCACCAGATAGTTTTTTCTTTGTGCGTCTGCTACTTAGTGCTGAACAGGTATTCTACTGTGGGGTGTTAAAAGCTTTATCACTGCTGCATCTGAACACAATACTATTAGTGTAGTGAGCCAAAACAGTGAAGCTGTGAGCTGTAAAAGTGAAAAACAATGAGCTCAGACTCTTTACAGCTGAGAGGAACTGCAGAGTCAGGTGGTAGTTCTCTGAGTTAGTCATTACAGGTGACCTCTTAAACATACAAGTAGGGATTTAATTGATTGTCGAAATAAAAATATATTGAGTGCGTCTGCTTGGGAGTTGGAAAATAAGATAATTGAGGGGAGAAGATGCAGGAATGTGGTTGAAAAGGTTTTGCACAAAAAAGCAATGTGGTAGAGTCGTTATTCTTGTTTATTATCAACATCCGTGTAATTAGTGGTATAGACGATGAAATTATCAGAGAAAACACAACGATCAAACACACTGAGTGTCACGAAGACAATTTTTCAAACGGAGCAAGAAAATAAAGTTACAAGTAAAAAACAGTGGCAAACAAATCTCCTAATGAATTCTAAATTTTCCGAGTCAGTCAAAACATCTGAAATACAAATGAATGAAAGGGAACGATTGAAATAGGGAAGCACATCAGAGAAATCACTCAAACAATTAAGCACCGGTCTTGAGTTTTTTAGCAGCAATTAAAATGAAAGATGAATGAATATCTCTGTCTGCTGTGGAGAGTCCAGACCTTTGAAACACATACAAGACACTGAAAGGAAAGTGAAGTGTTATTTTCCAAATAAATAAGAGAGAGGACGGGAAGAGACAAACAAAAGTGATATGTTGTGTTTTTATCACACAGAGATCCGTGAGGCGTTTCGTGTCTTGGATCGTGACGGGAATGGTTTCATCTCCAAACAGGAGCTGGGCATGGCCATGCGCTCCCTGGGTTACATGCCCAGCGAAGTGGAGCTGGCCATTATCATGCAGAGACTGGACATGGACGGTGAGGCAATACACAAGCACACATCTGAAAAAAACACAGTGAACCATTTCACGTGAGGACAAGTGTGTGACCGCTCAGTTAAAGATACTGGGTGTGTCTTTAGAGTGGATGTTTCTGTATTAAAATATGTGCAAGCTTCAAGTATCTATTTTGCTTTTCAAAGAACCCGGGTCGTATGAATATTTCTGTGTGTTGAATTTTAATGTGATGTAAATGATGCCAAAAACAGAGAAATTAAAGCCTCTTTTAACTTCCTTGTGGGCAAATGGGATTTTGAGCTGCAGCCTTTTTCAGAAATGCTCCCTCAGAATCTTTCCAAAACGTCCTCACGAGTAGCAGGTGGTCAACTGTCAGAGACAAATTCCCCCAGAGACGATAAAGACCAAATCTGTCCGCTCCTGCTCCTTTAACTCCAGCTCTGTCTGCAAATTCACAGAGGAAACGGTCTCTACACCACAGACAAGCTGGTCAACGTTTCAGCCGTGTCTTATCTGCTCTCGATTCTTGGTTAAAATTAAAAGATCAGAGCTAAAAGCCTTTTTCTTTGGCTTCCGTCTGACCATCTCTGACAGAATCCCTCCCTAATCATCTCAGTGTCATCTCTAATAAAGTGTTGAAAGTGGCCACTGGAACAATTAGTTTAAGCATGTCAGTTAGTATCAGGTGTTCGTCATCCTGCACACTTTTGTATGATTAGTTTTAGGTCCTTAAGAAATCTTCATCCGCTGATCGGTGCCATTATCTTCTTACCTCCAAGTTTTGGGCAAAGTGCTTTTATAATGTAAGATTATATTATGTTAATTTAAAGCTGCATTTAAAAGAAACTGCAGTCAGGGTTCAGAACAGAGACCCACTCGTCCTTTATACTATTAATACACAGTAAAACATGGCAGCGCTGCATTTTATGAATCTGTAATTACCCAGTCATTTCTCAGTAATCTCCTTGAAATTTTCCCTGAAAAGAACTTTGTAATTTAGCACTAAATTTAGGTGGAAAAATGAGTGTTCCTTGGAAGAAGAGCTCCATTTAAACCCAGTAAACACTGTTGAGAACGGTACATTGAATGGTTTGCTTCTCTGTAGACATTCGTGCATGTTCAGCTGGCCTGCTGCGCGCTGACTGAAAGACTCTCTAAGTTACTCAGCACCTAATTAGACTTCAATTATAGCCAGTGTACTGGTGTAATACTAACTTGATTTTCCTTTCATTAGTACCAAATTACATAGTGTTTTTGAAGGAACTTCTAAACTGGCATTCACATTTGCAAAATGTTCTGGAACATCTCGGTTGGTTTTCAATTTTAGTGTTTGCAGAACAGACCTGAAACCAGTCAGAGCAACAGAAAATGGGATTTAGCACAGAGTGACGGAAAGTGTAGAGAGACGACAATGTGCAGGAGGTGTTTGTGCCTCTTTTAGAGAAAAGAAGTCATCCAGTTCGTTTCATATCGCCTCAATAGAAGATTCAACAGACCTTTTTTTGGAGCATTTCACCTGTTTTGATAGGACAGTGAGATGGTCGAGAGAGAAAGGGGGAAAACCCGAACCCACAACCTCTGCAGGAATATTCAAGTTTGCTGGGCGCCCGCAGCAAAATGACAATGCTGCCATTGGTCAGTCCTCTGTCAGATTTTATTTTTATATCAAATCCGTTGCATTCCGCATTAATGTTTGGGATCGATCCAACCACTTTAAGGATGGATGTAAATCAGTCTGAATGTCAGGCCGGTCCAGACACATCTGCGACAACGAGTAAACATGATCTCGCTAATTGGTCTGGTTTCAATGTGAGCAAACTTCTACAGATCCATAAATTAAACATCCTGCCATCACACAATAGCTCTGACACTCCTACAGACTCACAATAATTCCTCTAATATGCTGCTTATTGTCGCAAACAATAAAGATTAGATAACACAGTTAACTGTTGATAATGTCAATATTTGCAATATCCAGTGATATAACTCTGTGTGTGTTGTAACTCCGTTTATAAGACATGCTGTTGTGGAGATGTTCACTGAGAATTAATTCCACGGGACGCTGGCTGTAGATTGCAATCTCTAACAATGTTCAGCAGCAGAATGTGAAGTCTTACAAGTTGTGTCCTTTGAATTTAAATTTGCCAAATGTTTCCAAAAAATGGCAGTAAATCAATCCTGCTAACGCCTGTGCACACACACACACACACACACACACGGGTTCACACACCTGATTCGAAAGGTGACTTGGTGCTGATGATCCCTGAGCATTTGTCACGGATGAGGGCACATCTGTAGTTTCTGCAAACAAATAAACTTCAGCATGAAATGCATTAGCTGCGGTCCGCCAGCCGTCCTGTCTGAGTATCTGATTTGTCACGGTCTATCTCCGGCTCTTCCTGTGTGTGTGTGACTGCAGGGGACGGCCAGGTGGACTTTGAGGAGTTCATGACGATACTCGGGCCCAAACTGCTGTCGTCCGACAACAGAGAAGGATTCCTGGGCAACACCATTGACAACATCTTCTGGCAGGTAAGGACCGGAGCTCCCTCCTCCCGGGCTGGCAGAGAGTCTGTTTCTCATCACTCACTCTCTCCATCGCTTATCACTTCCATCCGTTACCACTACTCTCACTTACCCTGTCTCACGTCTGTCTGACTGTGTATTTCAGCAGTCAGAGCGAGTCTTACTTCCTTAAGCTCAGCCCTAGTTTCTGCAGGAACTCTGCACAGGCACGCACCTACTTCAGTGCAAAAACACACAAACACACTTTCAGGCCCCCCGCCTGCTTCTTCTGTTCCCTGTCAGAAATGGAGACTATTTTCTTTCAGCTTCAAGGAGGAGGAAGGAGAAGGAGGACCTTGAAGGAACCGTTACCTGCTGAGAAATAAGTGTGTTCCTGTGTGTGTGTGTGTGTGTGTGTG